AACCGTCCGATGAAAACCCAATTACGTGGCGCACGTACATCGCTGGTGAGGAAATGAAACACGCACCCAGTTCAACCGCCACATCATCAATTGGCCCAAACCGAAAATTCCCAATCTTCACCTGTAAAAATTAGGGCTTCTCATTTGCTTCGTTTCTTCTTGAAATTCAATCGATGGGTCGGTCCCGAGCAGCTTCGCATCCCGCTGTAGACAATCACAACCAGAGGTTAGTCAATTTTCCTATCACTTCGGTTCAAATTTTCAAGCTTTATCAGACAATAATTAAGTCGTTAAAATTTCTCAATTTCGGTCACAAAAAATTGTTATTTCCTTTTTGGGTAATTTTCAGTAGGGGCAAAAGAAAGAGAACAGCTTCAGGTACAGAGCCAGCAGAGAACAGTAGCACAGCTCAGAAAGCTGTAGCCCAAGAAACTAGCGAACCCAAAGGGGCTTTCTACCACTGCAATTATTGCAACAAAGATATATCTGGGAAAACTCGCATCAAGTGTGTGGTGTGCCCAGATTTTGACCTTTGCATTGAGTGCTTCTCCGTTGGAGGTGAACTTACACCTCACAAATGCAATCATCCATACAGGGTTATGGTGAGTACCTTTGTATTTATATCAAAAGTTACTGTTTTGATATGTATCTGCTCTGTGAATGTTAAACGTTTCTAGTGAAGTGATCGTAGACTAATAGAAATTGTTGCAGGGATGGTTGCTTGAAGAAATTTTTATTTTTATTATAGCTTTAAGATATTCTGTTAATATCCAGAACAGAATTTAGAATTTGGAAATGGATAGTGGCAAGATTAGGATGACCTTTGAGTAAAATGCATTAAAAGGCAAAAGATTGAATTGGTTTTCTGACCCGAAGTGAAGCTCTAAATACTGCATGCAGATAAGAATTTTTTCCTTGCAACCAACAGAACCCATTTGAATTCACCTCAAATCTGTGTCTAAACAGCTATGAGTAATTATTTTTATTTGTTTAGAGAGTACTTTTACGAGCTTGTTCATTCATTTAATTATATATGAGATTTTCCTCCTGAAGTAAATTTTTGTTCTGCTTCCGATATGAAATCACATCGGAGATTATGAGATGCTTTTGAATATGACATGGACTATTAAACGTGCATGTATTATTTGATGAATTTTGTTTTTTAAAACAGGACAATTTGTCTTTTCCACTTTTATGTCCAGACTGGAATGCAGATGAAGAGATGCTATTGCTTGAGGTATTAAATTGGCTGATTTCTTTTAATAATGCTTCTGATCAATCTGTGTCCTTTTCTTTTTGTCAAACTGATAAATCTGTGTCTGATATCTCTTGTTCTTTGACCATACTTTTTAGGGTATTGAAATGTATGGATTTGGGAACTGGACCGAAGTTTCTGAACATGTTGGAACAAAAAGCAGACAACATTGTGTTGACCATTTTAAAGCTATATATATGAACTCTCCGCGCTTTCCTCTACCAGTAAGACCAGTTTTCTTATTAATGTATCCACACACACGTGACATGCACACATAAACATCATATAGAAAAAACCAAAATTTTCTCTAATAATTTTCATAATATCCACCTAGGACATGTCTCATGTTATGGGAAAGAGCAGAGAGGAGCTTCTTGCCTTGGCTAAGGGCTCGGGTGGAATCAAGAAAGGTTAGTTTGCAATGATTGTATTATTAGATGAGCATGAAAAGCAACTTTGTTTATGGTGATCTTGCATTGCAAGCAACTATATCCTTTGTCGTATCACTTATGATTTATGATGCCCCAACAGTTTAGTCAAACCATTCAGTAGGTGTGATGATACTTGCTCAATGTTCGTAGATTGCTCTGTGTATCTGTTTTTCGTGGAGACTGATAATCCTTTAAATGAGGCAGTTCATTTTTCTTCTTTGAAGTCGCTTGTGATGATGCTCACTTTTGTACTGTCATTATAGACATGTACTTTATTTTCATTTTGTGGATTTAAAATGTCCAGCTCAATCTGTTTTTTTTTTCTTTGTAGAAGTTCCCATGCTTGTGGAGATTACGTTGAAAGAGGTGTCCCCCTTTTCCACAGGAGTCAAGTATGGCTATTTTATTATATGTTGTATCTACTATTGGTTCAAGTTCTTGTTGCACATTTTCATTTTTAAAATTCTCTCTTACTTTTTTGTGCTTGATCAGGTGTGAAGAATTGAAAAAGAATCCAGCTTGTCAATCTTCATCCCACTCAACTGCTGGTATAACAATCAACCCTGTTGAGGCTTTTTGGTTCTTGAGCAATTTCATTTATCATGTGTTTTTGTTTATGCATGAATGGAGAGACCTAATTTTGTGTTTTGCATTAGATGATGCCTCAGGTCTGGTCCTAGGTGCTGTGAAGAAGGCATCTAACAAAGCGCAGATTAAGGATGAGATTAAAGTTTGTAAAGTGGAAGGTATGCTGGATTATGTCTTACGTTACTATTATTGTATAGGTAATGCATCAAAAAAATTAATGTCATGTATTGATTTAAAGAGATGTTCATTTCTATGTTACATTGTCAACAGAATCTCAAGTTGATCGGAGCGTCGGAGGGAAAAAACTAAGGAGCTTAGGTGACGAGGGACCTTCTATAACAGAATTTAGTGGCTATAATTTCAAGAGACAAGAGTTTGAAATTGAATATGATAACGATGCTGAGCAGATACTGGCAGATATGGAATTTAAAGATTCTGACACTAATGCTGACCGGGAATTGAAACTACGAGTTCTACACGTCTACTCAAAGAGGTACTTATAAGGTTACTTTGGTAGATTCAAGGTCGATGGATACATTTTCTAATTCGCAAAAGTTTTTGAAACGGAAGAGGTTAAAGTATACCAAGATAAAGTGATTATTTTCGTTAGGTTCAAAGGAATTTCCTTAACCTATTCCTTCACATCTCATGCATACTTTCATATAAGTAATATCCTCACTATAAAAATGAGTTAGACTTGCTGTCCAATTTTCCCTTTTTCCCCTTGACATACTCAAATAATATGTGGGAATTTGGGCAGGCTTGATGAGAGGAAACGTAGGAAGGATTTCATACTTGAAAGAAATCTGCTGTACCCTGACCCTTTTGAGAAGAACCTCTCACCCGAAGAGGGAGAAATATATCAACGCTTCAAGGTTTTCATGCGGTTCCACTCAAATGAAGAGCACAAGGAATTGCTCAAGAGTATCATTGAGGAACAACAGATTGTCAAAAGAATACTAGATCTTCAGGTCTGATGCATGTGCCTCACACTTGTATTTTTGTTACCTCATTTCCCTCTATATATACCATGACTCTTGGTTGATCTAGTTCGGTAAGTAATGGTATCACATGAATTTACATCGTTCTAAGTGAAAAGCACCATGGCTTCCCACAGTTGACATGACTTATGCAGCTCGAAATAATAAGCATCATATTGTATGGCTTCTGCTTATGTTCTTTGCATTCATTATGCAGCAGGCTAGAACAGCTGGCTGTAGGACAGCTGCTGAAGCAAGCAGATACCTTGAGGAGAAGAGGAAGAAGGAAAATGAAGAAAGTTCCCTGAGGATCAAAGAAAGCTCTCAGGCTGGTAAAGGCTTGCAGGTCAGTCCTCGGGGAGCTTTTAAGGGATCCACAGGTCTGCATCCTGTTAGCAAGGACTCATTTTCAACTACGCAAGCCATTTCCAGCTCCTTGGACTATTGGGACATAACTGGCCTAGTCGGGGCTGATTTACTCTCCGAAACCGTAAGAAAGCCAATCTCAGAGTCTAATGCTTTAGCGTAGAAAGCGAATTCTGTTGGTTGAAATGTTTGTCTAATACATGCAGGAACAAAGACTTTGCAGTGAGATGAGAATCCTACCTTCACATTATCTAAACATGCTGCAGATCATCTCCACAGAGATTGAGAATGGCAATGTTAAGAAGAAATCCGATGCCCATAGTCTGTTCAAGGTTGAACCATCCAAAGTTGATAGGGTTTATGATATGCTTGTGAAAAAGGGAATGGCTCAAGAATAGTTATGCACAGTTGTGTTTGTTACTTGAGAGGCAAAGAATCCCATTTTGTTCAATTATCTTGGCAAGAAGCCCAGGCTGTTTTAATAACCAAAGATCAATAAAATACCCATTTATACCACACTCGTAAACAAAAACAGAGATCACTGCCATTGGTTATGTTGATTTGGCCACAACAAAAATTATAAATTTCATGCAGAAAAGATCATTCATAATCAAAATAAACCTCTGGACGAAGAATACATGTCTAGACTGGTATAGGCAAATGGTAAATACCAAATTATAATTACCCATCATTTATACGTATGAAGTAAACTCGAATGTTTTTGTACTTATAATGTACTTAGCCCTGAAAAATGGTAGTTGGTAATGAAAAAATAACAAAAGGGAAGCATCGCAAATATTCACTGTAGATTTTCATTGCCCCTTTACTACCAAAGAAAAAATGTTTTTTGGTATTTTGGTATTTTCTCATAGAATAGAACCCAATTCAGTACAAGTCAATAACTTGATTTTAATAAAAAGTACAATAGAAAGCATCTAGTCAGAGAGAGCCCCAGAACCTGAACAAACTAGACTTGGAAAATTAAAACATGTCCAAATAATTCAAAAAGCTCACTTTTAGTAGTTGTGTAGGGTCAGGTCAACTCTCTCTCTCTCTCTCTCTCTCTCTCTCTCTCTCTCATAGATGATATCTGAACAATCTGATGATATCACCACCCAAATCATAAGTACACTTCTTATGTCAGTTTCCTCCATAGCATTAATCTGACCACCACAATTTCCATTTTGCTTTCCCCTTCTGCTTCTTTGTTTTGTCAGTGTCACCATCTCCCAATAGCCAATACCTACCCCCTCTCTCCCTCCCTACACTACACCCAATTAATTAATTCATTAACCAACTAAATCCCCTAATTAACTTAATTAATCTGCAGCCCCGGAGTCCCATAATTCATTAACTAACTAAATCCCCTAATTAACTTAATTAATCCGCAGCCCCAAAGTCCCATAGGTGCAGTGTCGTATCACTCGAGCACGCTGCGACATGTCGTTCGTCGCACACCATCGCATTGACGTCCCCGATCCTCTCCCTGAACCTGTACAGATATGTGCCCCTCTCCACCTCCCACACACTCACCACGCCATCGGTACACATTAGCGCGTACCCTTCGTTCATGCACCCCATCGCCCCTATCTCCGCCGCCCCCCTCACGTTAAACCTGCACACCTCCTCCATCGTGTCCACCAGACGCACCCTAGCCAACCTAGCCAACCTAGCCAACCCCCTCCTCCTCTCCGCGATAACGTACGCCGCGCTGCTGACGTCAACCGAGGTCACAATTATCTCCCTCCCGTTCCTGTACTCTTCATCACCCAACACGACCCCCTGGTTCGTCAGATCGAAGACCATCACGCGCGAGCTAGTGCACGCCACGGCCGATTCGCGACTCGTGACTCGGACTCGGCCCACGAACCCGGTCATCTCGGTCAGCATGTGCCACCCCATCACCGCCTCCGGATCGGTCAACGTACCGCCCACGAAAGTCAACTGTCCCGTCACGCCGTCCCATATGTGGAAGGCCCGACCCGGTACGCCCGCGTAGAGGCCGACCCACCACCTCTCGCAGCCGGTGAAGTCGACCAGGGCTCCGTCGTTGACCACCTCTCCCAGGTGGACCCGGTTTGTGATCTGGGGGTTCCCGATGGTCGCCACGTGGATGTCGCCGTCCAGCGTGGCGAAGACGAGTTTGGAGCCGGGTATGACGATGC